GGGGAGGGAGGGGAGAGGGAGGGGCAAGCAGAGGCGGGGGAGGCGCACCTGCATTGCGCACCACCTCAATCTTCATGCCAGCCAGCGCCTTTCGCGCCTCCGCCTGGTGCGCCCTGCGGTGTGCGCACGCGTGTGGGGGTTGTGGGGGTTGGATGAAAGTGTGCTTGGGGCAGCCAGCCAATCATGGCGGTCCAAGCGTGGGGGCCACGGCCACCACAACCACGCCGACGCCGGGGCAGAGCGCCGCGGAGCAAACCCTGCCAGGACCCCACACACAGCGCGGGCCCCTCACCCACCCACAGCGCAGACTCCCCAACGCGCTTCCAGCCCCCGCACCACCCCCATCCCCCCAACCACCCCACCTGAACGCCGCCATCTGCTGCTTTTCCTGCTTCTCCTTGAGCTTCTTGATCTTGGTGGCGTCCTTCTCTGCAGCAGGGGAGGCAGGCGGGGCAAGTGAGCGGAAGGAGAGGAAGAGGAGGCAGGCAGGCAGGCAGGCAGGCAGGCAGGCGGACGGGCAAGGGCTGGGCGGCACGGCCCGGCACATGTCTCAGGCGCCGGCGCGCGGTCAGGCATCCATGCAGGCATCCACCCATCCATCTGCCCAGTTAGCCAGCCAGCGACGGCAGCCAGCCCTTGCCGTGCTACCACACCAGACCTGTCATGAGCGAGAAGTCCTCCTCGCCGCCCTCCCCGGAAAACAACCCCTGGATCATGTTCTTGCCCAACTTCTTGATTTCCGAGGAATGCACGCTGACCCGGTTCATCTCGTCCAGCAGCACGGGACCGCCCTCCAGCGTCCTGAAGCCCGCGGGGCGGCCGCCGGCGGCAGACAGGCCGCTGGCGTCGCTGGCCGCGTCGTCCTCGCCGCCGCCGCCGCCCTGGAGCAAGCGCTGCAGGCGGCGGCACGCCTTGTGCGCGGCCGCGTCGTCAGCCACGCACCGGCTGCTGGTCTGCAAGGTCAGACAAGGGGATGGGAGGAAAGGGGGGGTGGGTGGCTCACAGTGGGCAAGCTGGCGTCGACAGGCGGCGGCGGCGGCGGCGGCGCACCATCATCTCCCCAAAGGCCTCGTACGCCTCCTGGGCATCGTCTCCCCACTCGAAATCTTCGTCAGACAAGCATGAAATCAAGTAATCGAGCACATCAGGGTCGGCCTTGCTGCCAAACACCGCCTCCAACGCTTGGCGAACGTCCATTGCTGGTCAGGACGCCGCCGCGGCGCTACCAGCACTTGCACACGCAGCGAGAGCAGTGAAGCAGCCCAGCAGGTCAGAGCCAGGCATGCGATGGTGCGGCGGCAGGGTCTGTTGCACCCCTGGCTTGGCAACAAACACCAGCGAAAATCAATGCAATGCGAAGCGATCGCCCTAGCTGCTGTCTGATCCTCCGCCGCCGCCGCCCGCCACAATGCCGCCATGCGGGCGGCATTGCGGTATCGGCATTGCGGCTTTCCAATGGCTCCCTGTGTGAAAGTAGTGATCCCCTGATAAGGTGCTTGGCCGGTGTGTAGCATGTGTTACCTTCAGACTCGCTCCAAGCTGTGCTACAGGCAGATGAAGCGGCTGACATTGGGTTGTGGGCCCGGCCTCTGAATGTCGGTGACCTGCCGGGCAGTGCCCGCCCAGACACCGAGCCTTCTCTTAGCCACCGTCATGTCTTACTGCTACTTGATGCGCCGCTTTGCCTTCTGTACTGTGTAAGGATTCAATGCATGGAGGGATTCAATCCACTCAGGGCTGCTTGGGCGCCGGCGCATCTAGGCGGGTGCGCTGCCGCCCGCCTGCTATGGGGGCTGTGGACACAGCCCCATGCTGTCCAGCCTGGTTCAGTTCCTGTGACTCTACAGCAGGAAACCAAGCAGTCAGCGCCGCTAGGGGTTCTAAGAACTATCGGGCGGTCACTGGCGATCGAGCCCTCTCTGCTCGCCAGCTGATATGCCTGCAGAAGAAGCACCGCAGCACTCGCAGCAAGCCGCCGACAATGCCGCCGGCTGGGGCAGCAGCGAGCTGGCGCCACCCGACCCTGCCGCCGCCCCCGCTGCTCGCCCAGGAGCGCCGCTGTCGGAGGCGCTTCGGAAGCAGCTGGCACAGCTGGCGGTGGATGGCTCGGCTTGGATGGACGACCACCGCTTGGCGGTCCGCCTGGCTGCCATTGCCGCCGTGGCAGGTGTGTGGGCCTGCGGGCGCTGCTGTCAGTCGGGGGTGCCGACCCGATCAGCCACGTGGTGTCACCTGGTGCGGCGGCGCTGGCTCGAGGCGTGGGGAAAAGGTTGCAAAATGTCTCTGCCTGCAAGGGAACAACATCCCCACTCCCGAAATGTGTAGCGCCTTGTGCTGTGCAGGCAGCGTGGCCTTCCTGCTGCACACAGGCCACGTGGCGGGGTGGCGGCAGTATGCGTCTCTGGCAGAGCTGCCACCGCGCCTGCTGGCCCCGCAGGCGGCACGCCTCCCCGTGGTGATGCACAGCGCGGCGCAGCACGGCGAGGTGCTGGCGGTGCGCGTTGCGCACTACCCGCTGCTGCGCCGCTTGGTGGACGGCTACCGCAGGTGCGCTGGCTGGGAGGCTGTCCGGGAGGCTGGCTGGCTGGGAGGGAGGCTAGCAGGCTGGCTGGCAGGCTGGTTGGCTGAGATGCATTTGATGCCAAACGCCTGCTGTGCCCTGAGCGTCCACACTCCAGCCCTCACTTTTGCGCTGAAGAGCTGCTCGCTGATTCTGCCGGCGACGATGCAGGGTACCGTCGTCTGCGGCGGCGCACCGAGCGGCAGACCGCAGCCGGCTGCTCACCTGCTACCTCGCGGGCCCGGTGCAGCCCACGGCCGCAGGTACAGCAGGGGCCTGGGGCCTGGTGTGCCGTGGGCCAGCGAGAACAACTTTCCTTTGCACCGCACACGGGCCCTGGCAGGTGTGCCCAGGGCATGCCGGCGGCCCCTGGGAGCGCTGCCATGAGTGCTGCTGCCCCGTCTCGCCCTGGCATCCGTGCAGGGCTGAAGTACCTAAAGCAGCTGGAGCTTGTGGGCGTGCACCGCATGCGCCTGCTGAGCGTGGTGGACGCCGCCGACCAGGCTTGGACGGCCCCGGCGGCACAGGATGCTGCTGGCAGCCAAGCCAGGCTGCAGCTGGGGCCCGGCGTCGCCTGGGGCGGCTGGGAGCAGCTGGCTGCTCAGGGCGCCGCCTCGGCACCGGCAGATGAAGCTCCGACCACGCCCGCGCCTGCAGCCCAGCAGCCGCCTGTGGCAGCGCAGCACGATGAGCTGGCCCCAGTGGCAGCGCCCAGCCAGCGGCAGCAGCAGGAGCGGGGGGCTGCTGGTGCGGCTGCGGCGGCTGCGGCGGCGGTGCACTCTGGGCCCATGCTGTGGGGTGAGCTGTATGCCCGAGAGCCGCGCCGAGGGCTGGCGGCGCTGCTGCCGCGGCAGCGGGGCGATGTCGGCGAGCGCCTGATCAGCCGGGTGAGGAAATGGAAAGTGGGAGAAGCTTTGCTCGTCCTTGCTGCGCACCCACACACCACTCGCCCACCGCCGCCTGCGTTGCTGCGCATGGGTGCCACCCGCGCCCCGCCTCCCCACCCTCAACCTCGAGCCTGTCCTGTCTGCCGCCTGCCGTGCGCTGCGCTGCACAATTGCATGTGCACCGAAGCCATTCTGAGAAGCCATCTGCCTCCTGTACTGCCTGATGGCTGCCTGGCTGCCTGGCTGCCTTCCCGCAGGGCGAGGCAGCCATGAAGGAGCCAATAGACCTGGAGTGGCTGGGATGCAGCTGGCACCGCATTGACCGGCTGTATGCCGCAGAGCAGGCCGCCATCCGGGCAGGTGGGCCGGCTGGGCAGGCCGCCGCGTGCCAATGCAGACGTGCGGTGAGGCTGCAAGGCAGATGTGTTGGCGGGCACGGCTGATCTGGCGGCAGCTTGGCCGTTCAGAGCTGCTTCAAAGCTGTTGTGCCCCTGCCCCCGCCGGTGACGCAGGGCTGGGCATCTGGGCGGTGAGGCGGCCCGGCCTGGGGGAGTGGAGCCGCAGCGTGGCCCGCAGCGCTTGGATGCGGGTGCGGCACACCGCACGCACCACGGCAGCCGCGGCAGCTGGCAGCGTGAGCGGCGCGGCCGCGGCCGCCGGCACTGCAGTGGCGGGAGCGCTGACAGCCAAGCCCTCTGCAGGCAGTGCGGCGGGCAGGGCAGCGGCGCAAGCTGAAGGGGTGTGGAGCCGGGCTGCGGCTGCGGTGGGCAGGGTGCGCCGGGCTGCGGCGGCGGCCATGCCCCGCACGCGACGCGGCCTGCCAGCTGCGAATTCCCTGGCTGCTACCGCGCCGCCTGGAGCCAGCCACGCTTCTGGAGGTGCAGCGAATGATTCAGGGCAGCACAAGGACTAGTGTGTTTGCATCGCTGGTTGCAAGAGTGCCATGCAGCCAGGTGGCGGCTACGCGTCCGGCGGGCAGATGGCGACGAGGGGGCGCAACCAGCGGCCGGCAGCTCGTGCTTGCCGCACCCCCTTCTGAATGTTTTTGCCCATAAGGGACCTAAACATCGGTCTAGGCGTGTGGGGGCATGTTGGATCAGTTTGGCTGCGTGACTGCATGACGTGTGGGCGTCCCCTACCACCCGGCTTCACGCCCTCTGGGAATCCCAGTGTTGCACCCATATTAACCGCCCCTAAACCCGTCTTTTGCACTCTCCCAGTCAGCCAACCACCGTCTGTGAGCTCCTTACGGTCCTCATCCGAGTGGAACGCGACCCGATCTATCGCATGCGCAGAGGTGAGCGGTCCAACTCCCTGCAAGTTGCATCAGCGTGTCTGCCAACACCTCTGTTGGCATGTGTGCTTGTGCGCAGCGCCCTGGACGCACGCGTGGCGTCGGGTCTCTTACCCCCGCGGCCCCCGCGTGCTCGCAGGCATCTCTTTAACGCCGAACCACCCAAGAGAGTGAATGGAGGCCAGAGCGGTCGGCGTGCTCCTTGCAGTCCTATGCATGTCCATGGCGCCAGCGAGAAGCCAGCCCAAACCGGTCACTAAGCTCGCCCCTACACACGATCATGGACTCCAGGGGGCTTTACTGCCCATACTACCTCGCGGCGCCCTGAGGTGGAGGCCAGGGGTGACAGCCTGGGCGCGCCGCGCGCGCGCACTGCAGCAGCTGCTCCCGCCCGGCGGCAGCAACAGGCCCTGCGTTGCCGCAACCGAGCACACCTGCACTGGCGCGGCGGGCACCGCCCCCATCTGCTGCCAGCGCCGAATGTTCGCCTGCGGCACGCGGCTGGACACGGGCGGGCCCCGCTGCGCCATGTGCCCCCAAGTCTGCATCATGGACTGCATGCCAGGCTACAAGTGCGGCAAGGATGCCAATGGCTGCTTCAACTGCCTGCCGGACGCCTCAAGCAACGGCAGCATCCGCCCAAACTCGACTAGCACCAATAGCACCAATAGCACCAATAGCACCAGCAGCGGCGGGGCTGTGGTGATCGGCAGCGGTGGGCAGTCGGGGAACAGCACTGCTGGCGGGTGCGGCAAGGACTTGCTTTGCCCCGCCAGCCAGGCCTGCAGCCCGGCGGGCCTGTGCCTCCCCGACCCTTGCCTCAGCCCTGGCGCCTGCCCCGCAGACGCCAAGTGCACCCTTGGTTCTGACTTCAAGCCTGTCTGTACTGCCGGTGAGCTCGCACCTCCTCCCTGCATTGGCCTGCCGGCGCCGACTGCCCCTGCATCGCCTGGCGAGGCTGCCAGCGCCCGCGCCCAGTCTGATAGAGCTGCTACTGGCTGTGCGGCTGCCCGACATGCATTCCCTGCCACCCATTCTAATGCCGTCCCGTCCGCCGCCCCTCGCCTGCCGCAGTCCCCAAGTGCACGCCCGGCTGTGGCACCGGCTATGTGTGCCAGGCGGCGGGCAGCAAGTGGAAGTGTGTGAAGAAGCCGCCAGCCGTTCGTCGCACAGCCCGCAAGCAGGCGGTGCGCCACCTACTGGCGGCCTGACGCTCCGATCATAACTTGTATATATAAGTTTTCTTTCTGGTGTGCTCTCATTCCTATGCTGTCCAGCTGACAGTATCCCTTTTGTTCCTCCGCTTTGAATTGTTTCATCCCTTCTCATTTGTTAGCGATGCCCCTGTTCCCCTCATCACCGCTTACCGCACCCTTCACCCCAAGCTCTGCACCATTAAGCCACACACGTCGCGCTTCACATTCCCTGCCTCCCTTTTCTCCAGCTGCTGCGGCCCCTGCCCACCACCCGCCAGCAGCCCCTCGATCCCTGGCGTTGTTCTGTGCCCTCACCACCTCGCACCAGCTTTGCTGCTTTCAAGACCAGCCTGCGCTCCTCTCGTGATGAAGCCTTGCGATACTGCCATTTCAACAGCTGGTTGCCCAGTGGGATCCCATCCAACTTATGACACGACCTACCCAACCACACAATACACACATGATGTAATCGATTCTCGAATCGAGGGGAGGGCAGAACAACAACAGCATGAGTGGCCCGGCTGGACAGACACAGGTGTCTGTCGACATGACGGCTGTCTGTCTGTCTGTCTGTTACACCCATAAGGAGCAAATGAATGCTACGGGCCCAGCTGTGGTGCAGCAGCTGGAAAGGTGAAGGCACCATACACAAACGGGGAGAGAGAGAATTGGGTGGCCCGCCCCGGAGAAAATGCAGTGGATTTGGGGGATCCAAGAAACAGGGAAGAAGATCAGTGTGACCTTGCAGCCGTATGCGCATGGCGGCGGCGGCGCCAGCAGGGCGGGCGAGCGGGCGGCTTGCAGGACGGAGATGGGCCCAGGCTGGTCCTCCTGTTTTACTCGTCATGAGCACAGGTCCAGTGCAGATGAAGCTTGTTGTGTTGAAGTTAGGCTGCCCTTGTCAGCAGACCCGCGGGTGAGCCCACGGCGGCCCCACTGCCGCTGCTGCTACTGCTCCAAGAGTCTCTGCCTCTTGACAGGACTCTCCTCGTGACAGAGCGGGCATGAGCCAGCCCACGTGCGGCCTGGCCTCCCAGGCAGAGCTGCAGGCAGCCCTCCCGCCCGCTGGCTACGCCAACAGGCAGCAAGACTCGCAACCTGGCAGCCTTGGACGAACCAAGGACGCGCCCAGCTCCTCGCTGGTGCCGCTGCCCCTGCCGAGGCGGCTGTCGGCTGTGCTGCTCGGCCAGCAGGGCTCTGACGACGTGGCGGCACCGAGCCACGCAGCTGCTCCAGCGCCTTGCGGTAGCACGCCTGGATGGGAACGCGGCGGCGGCGCTCCTACACAGCAGCAGCTGGGTGTGCCACTGACGTCCCTGCAGCTGCAGCACCGGCAGCAGCTGGAGGTGCTGCACCGGCAGCAGAAGGAGCAGCAGACCTGGTGGGATGCAGCGAGGGCGGTGGTTGAGGGTCGCGCCCCGCTGGCACAGACGCCGCAGGCCGGCCAGCAGGGCGCCATGCCCTGTGCCCCAGGCCAGGGCCCAGGGCAGCCGAGTTTCCCGCCGCCGCCGCCGCCGCCGCCGCCGCCGCCGCAGCAGCCACCACCGCCGCCGCCGCCGCCACCACCGCCGCCACCACCGCCGCCGCTGCCACCGCCACCACCGCCACCGCCACCGCTGCCGCCGCTGCCGCCGCCATTGCAGCAGCGCCAGGCAGCTTGGCAGCACACCTGGCACCCAGCCGGCCACCTTCAGCCGCTCCGAGCCCCCAACCTCCACCACCCGCCCTTGGCAGGCGGCTGGCAGGCTGCATGGCCGCCAGGTGTGGGCCCAGCAGCCCCAATGCTGCCCTTGACGCCACGTCCAGCAGCAGAGGCGCACCACGCACCCCAACAGCCGCGGTCTCACCCGTGCGTGCACCCCACCGCGCCGCCGCCACTGCAGCCGCCGCAGCTGCCGCAGCCCTGGCTGCCACCGCCAGGCCAGGCAGGGGCGGCGGGCGCAGGCAACTCGCCTCGGGCGGCCTCCAAAGTGCGGCGACTGCATGCTGCGCCAGCTGTGGCAGCTGGGGCGGATTCGGCAGGGCTGCTGGAGCAGGGCTGGTTCTTTGGGGGCGGCAGCAGAGGCTCCGCCATGCCGCCACCACGGCCTCCGCCAAACGCAGCCCCCTGGCTCGCCGGCGGGTGGCCCGCAGCAGCCCCGGCTGCAAAGCCCGCTGCCAGGGTCGCCGCTAAGGCAGGCAGGGACGGCGGGGGTGGCGGTGCTGGCGGAGGATATCAGCCGAGGCAGCAGCAGCAGCAGCAGCAGCAGCAGCACGGCACATCCAAACTCAAGGAGCAGGTGAAGAAGCTGGGGAGGCAGCTGCAGAGCCACGCGCTGCACCTGGCGCAGCAGCAAGGCCCCCAAAGCCGCGGGCACAGCCATGTGCTGCAGCCGGGGCAGGAGCAGGGGCCCCGGATTGAGCACGCTCAGCAGCAGGGGCGCCGGACACCCGCGCCGGCACTCTCGCGGCACGCCGAGTCGCCGGTGGCTGCCGCCTGTGAGCCTCCTGAGGTGGCAGCACAGGCTGCCGCCTCCCTGGGCACACCCATGGCAGCAGCAGGCTGCACAGAGGCAGGCCTGGCGCCTGAGCCCGCACAGATGTCAGCTGCGCCGGCAGCAGCCCAGCCGGGGATCGCAACCCTAGCTGATGAGCCAGCAGAGGCAGTCCTGCGGGGTGTGGTGGCTGCAGAGGCCCTCCCTCGAACCTCTCTGCCGCCTCCGCTGCCACCCTGTACGGCACCGGAAGCGCCAGCAGACCGTAGTGCATCGGCGGCGGCGCAGCCGGCAGCAGTTGCAGCGAGCGGCGACGCCAGCGGCGCCCGGCAGCGCGAACCCGGCGTGGCGCCCGAGCAGCAAGAGCCTGAAGCGGCCTCAGCAGACCCCCTTGAAGCAGCACCTTTGCCTGCCAGCCCAGCAGCCAACACAGATGCAGGGCCCGGAGCAGGAGCACGGGGAGAGGGGGCTGCTCCTCCCGTACCATCCAGCCCTGCTGCTCCTGTCACAGGCGCTCGGGGCCAGCCAGCGTACGGCATGTTGCCGCCACTAGAGCCAGCCCCAGCGCTGGCCACTGCCCCCGCCCCCGCTGCCGCGCAACACCCCGCGCCAGCAGCGGCTGTCCCCGAGGCGTGTGCAGCGGCCAGCCCCTCTCCGCGGCCCGCTGCCGCCCCTCCCTCTCCCCCGGCTGCCGCCTACCTGACCGCCTACCTGGCCTGCCTGCCGCGGGGCCCGCAGTGGAGCTGCGCCCTGCAGCTGGTGCACCGCTTGGATGGCCTGCGCCCCAGCCGCTTGACCCCTGATGACCTGGCCGCCTGGGCAGCCCAACAGGGCTTTGCCGCCCCAGACCTGCGGTGAGGCGCTTGCCCGGCATGCCTGTGCAGGAGTATGCGGCGGGGAGCCTGCATGGCATGCAGCAGATGGTATCCGCTGCTCAGCTGATTCGCGCCGGTGGATGGCACTCCTTCTGCCCCTCTTGTGATGTCCCAGCGCCTCTGAAAGATCCCACGCGCGGAGGTCGACTGCCGGGGGCGTTGTGCGTGCCTCCCCGCCTCCCCCTGCCTGCAGAGAGGCGCTGGTGGCGCTGCAGGCGGCGGCGGTGCTGGAGCTGCGGCAGCTGCCCGCCACCAGCGGCCCGCCCTGCTCTGGCTCTGCCTGCACCGCCTGGCAGCTGCTGCCGGCCGGAGCTGGGCTGGGCCTGGCAGAGCGCGACGTGGAGGCTGCAGTCCAGGCTGCCGAGGCAGCGGGAGCGGCTGCCGAGGTGGCGGCGGTTGGCGAGGAATTGGTGGCAGCGGTTGTTGCCGCGGCAGGCCAGGCAGCTGCCCGCATGCCTGTGTCGGCACAAGCAGGTGGCGCTCACGAGAGCAGCGCTTCCGGGTCACCTGGAACGCCAGGCGCACGGCAGCAGGGCAGCACCTCCCCTCAAGCCGCCACCAGCTCCCCCCCCGCCGCGGCCGCGGCGTTTCCGCTGCCGCTACCCCCTTCGCTGGCTGTCAGGTGGCTGAAGGGGCCTCGCTCGCCGACCAGCGTGGCTCTTCCCTTCATCAGGCCTGGCGCTGCCGCCATGCTGCGCGCGCTGCTGGTGAGTGCGGCCGCGCTCGGGCATGCTGTGGCCTGCAGGCTGGTGGTCTTGTGGGTGAGGGAGCGGCGATGGCCATTGGAGCGGAATCCAGCACTTCACTGATGGCTGGGCCCGGCGCCGCTCACTTCTTGTCTACTTTCTACATGAAGCTCCTCTGGGCGGGCCCTGCGCTCCGCATGCAGGCCAGCCCTCGGCGCCAGCTGCCGACAGACGCGCTGGACGCAGCGGCCGTGGCCGGCGCACTGGAGCGGGCGGCGGGCGGAGGCCAGCGGGTGCCGACATCCCAGCTGGGCATGTGAGCGGACCTGTGGCAGGCTGCTGAGCGGCCCAGCTTGCTTGCGCTTTTTCCCTGTCGAGCAAACAGGCAGAGCCAACGAGCACAGCTGCTGTCCCTTCTGATCGAATCCACTTTCCAGCTCCCTCCTCCTGCCTGTAGGTGGTGCCGGCAGCTGCTGGAGGCATCCACCCTCCTCGACTCCCGCCAGGCGGCGCGCAGCAGCAGGCTGTGGCACATCCCGCCCAGCAGAGCCGCGGCCGCAGCAGCGGCTGTCGCTGGCGTGCTGGGGCAGGCTGCGCCCGAGCCAGGCCCACTGCCTGCTCTCGGCGCCGCCAGCAGCGGCAGCAGCGACAGCGATGCCGAAGGTGCCGCGCCCACCGAGCCGGCAACAAAGGCAGCGTTGCTTGCGGTGCCGGCCGCAGCGCGGCGCAAGCGGCCCCTGGGAGGAAGCGCAGGCTTGCCGCCGCGGCAGAGGCAGAAAGGGGCGGCGGAAGGCGAGGGGGCAGAGGATGGCTCTGGCGTGGAGGATGCGGGGCTGGCTGAGGTGCAACCTGGTGGCGACGGCACGGGTGCAGCCGGCAGCCCCCCCAGCCTGGCCCCTGCCCCACTGCTGCCCCCCATGGAGGAAGCAATCGATGTGCTGGAGGCGGCGGCTGGGGACGATGCAGGGCTGATGCCGCTGGCGCTGCAGCTGCTGGCAGTTGCCCAGTGGGCGGGGGTGGAGGCACGAAAGGTGGGGCTCGCACTGGCGCTGCGCCCTCGTGCCTTGGCAGCAAGGGAAGACAGCCCACGGGCCGTGCATGGATGGCTTGCCGCCCTCCATTTCAGTCCCGCCGTATATCTGCTGCTGTGCTCCCTGCCTTGCCTGTCGTGTAGGCGGCGGTTTTCGGGGAGTGGTTCCCGGAGATGCTGCCGCCGCACAGGCTGCTGCTGTACCGCAAGATTGCCGCGGCAGCTGGCCAGCAGGTGGGGTTGCAGCACCTCTGTGGACTGCCAGACCCAAATGCATGCCCTGGATGCAGCCACCCGAGCTCACCTTTGGCTGTCCTGCCTTCAGGATGCTGGCCGCGTGAGAAGCTTGGTCTTGTCGGCGCTTCTGGCGGCCCCTGGCGGCCGCGGTTGATCCAGGCGAGCGACAGAGGCGGGCGCTCATTGAAGCAGGCAGCCTGGGATATTGTACCCTCCCCCATTCTATCAATGCTGTGACAAAGCACTACTCTGCATCATGGGGCATGTCGAGCAAATGACGGGGGCCACGCTGACGGTGGCAGCAGGACAGCCAGCGTGGCGCTGGCGAGTACACACTGTGGGTACACGCAGCGGATCGCCCGCCGACTCGGCGCGGCAAACGGCAGGCACCACAGGATGTCCCCAGGCAGGCAAAGCGCCGCGCTGGCGCAGCGGCAGTGAACTCAGTGACGAGGGTGGGGTGGGGAGGGGGGGCGGCGGGGCAGGGGGCGGCCACGGCGGCGGCAGCGGTGGCGGCAGCGGCACCAGCAGCAGCTGCAGCGGCGGCGCCGGCGCAGGTGGCGGGGAGGCGGGCAGCGGCGGTCAAGAGGCGGCGGCTGATCGATCCAGGCTGACCTGCACCTTTGTTCCCCCTCGTTGTTTTTCACACGGGAGCCAGGGGCTTGACACCCCGTTTCCTCCCAGTACGGCCGAAGTACAAATCACGCGTCCCGCGTATTCTCTTCTTCTTCTTCTTCTTCTTCTGGGGAGACTCCTCGTGATTTACTGGTTTCCCTTCTCACCCATCCGTCAAATCAAATCAGCTTCTACTACTCAACAGACCCTCAGACCTCCCTGTTCCCCTGTTTGGCAGGGTTTTGGGGGGTTCTTGCTTTTGAATTGGTCTGCGCATCGACACAGTTTGATCAATCTGTAGCCTTGAAAAGGGTTCTTCTGAGAGGCCTTGAAGCGCTCAGGTGCGCGATGGCGTGGTGATGGGTGCGCGCAGCGTGCTCGTCAGGGCCCTGTTGACCCTCACACCATCACCATTGAACCGTTGGATCAGTCGCCGGCTTGCTCCAAGGGGTGCCCTGTGTTGAGAGTCGACTTCCGCCGCTAACGCCGCCGCCGTCCCATCTGTTTTACAGACCTCCCTGCCACCTCAGCCCAGCACTAGGACCCTAATAAGGCGGTCAGGGGATGGAAGTGCTGGAGCAGAGCACCAGCGGTGGCACCGCTGCAGTAAGCGCTGCTACCGATGAGGCGCGCAAGCAGCGGCAGAAGCGCGCTGCGCACACCAGCGCCGGTTGGTGCGGCTCTGGAGCCAGCCCCGCAGCTGCAGCACCCGCCACACCACACGAGGCGCCTCTAGCCCGCCAGGCTGGCAGCCCCGGTGAGCAGGAGGCGGTGCCAGCAGCAGGCGCGGCCGGGGGGGCGCCAGTGGCAGAAGCCCCGCCTGCTCCTGACCGCACACTGCCACGCTCTGGCCCTGATGATGACTCAGCGGCCCGAGCAGCACCAGCCCCAGCAGCAGCAGGCACGGCTGCAGCAGTGCCGGCCGCGGCGCCTGGCAGCCGGCTGTCGCTGCGGCAGAAGATCGCGCAGTTGATGGCTGGGGTGGGCGGCTCGTCGCCAGCCGACCGCTGCTGCTCGCCCTCCCCGGCAGCACCAGCAGCATCGCCAGCCGCAGCACCAGCAGCACCAGCAGTGGCAGCAGCGGCAGCGGCAGCGGCAGCACCATCACCGCCATCATCGGCAGCAGCACTGCCAGCAGCAGCAGCAGTGGCGGCGGAAGCTGCGGCGTCTGCGGGGACCCCAGATGCGGCTGCCTCGGGCCCCAGCAGCCGCCACGCCGGGCAGAGCAGCAGCCCAGGCAGCGGCGAGGGCAGCCAGGGCAGCGCCAAGCGAAGGCGGCTGCACAGCCCGGCCAGCACGCGGCTTGTCGAAGGGCGGCAGGGGGAGGAAGGCAAGGGAGGCTGCCAGCAGCCCGCACGTGACGACGCCAACACCCTTGCCACTCAGCGCGAGCCGCCAGCGCCCCAGAGCCGGCCTCAGAGCGGGGCCAGCCTGCCCGGGGCGCCGCCGCAGTCGCCATCAGGCGCGGTGGGCGACGCGCGGCTGCTGCTCCAGCTGCGCTACCATGCTCGCCAGCCGGCGGCTCAGGCCGCGGGGCTGGGCCTGCGCCTGGTGGCTCACTTCTTCGCTGCCTACAAGGTGTGGCTGGGTGTGTATGTGTGGTAAATTGCTGCTGCTCGCCTCCCGTCCATGCACCCGCTTGCAACTGCTCGGTCCCGTGGTGGGCCCCTATGCGGCGCCGCTGTTTATGCAGGAGCGCCTGAGCCCAAAGCAGCGTGTGGCGTGCGGCGGCACCATCCTGCAGCTGCTGCGCCCCGCCACGTCGGCGCAGAAGGGAGATGGCGGCGGCGGCTGGGCAGCGGTGGCGGCCCCCCCCCCCGACTATGCCGCTGTCAGGGCAGCGATGGTTGCGGTGATGGATGGCGGAAGCTGAGTCAGGCGGCAGGGCGCCAGCGCCCTGCACATGTCAGCACCTTTCCGAAACCTCAATGTTCGTTGATCGTTAAAACACAGAACCATTACCGATGCAGCGGAGGAGTGTACACCTTCAGTTCCAAACTCAGGGGACCGACATCGTGTGCTGTGTAGGCAGCACAACCCGCACGTCCCCGCAGCCGTCGCCTGCGCTGTTGCAGTGCCGCGGATCCTCTCACGGGCCCGAGGCATGCGGCAGCTGCTGACGGACTGGTTCGGCATGAGCGTCACTGCCGACGTCCTTGCGGGCGGCGGCGTCACTGCCGCCGCCCTTGGTAGCCCTTCGCCAGCCTTTGCAGCTGCAGAGCGCCGAGTGCAGCTGTCCGGGTCCTACTCCACGCCACAGTCGCCTGGCGGCCCAGAATGGCAGACCACGCGTGTAGGTAGGGAACCGCCTGACCCGCCTCCGGCGCTTCTGGCAGCCACTGCCAGCATTGCTGATGGCAGCAACTCATCTACTGCCCCCTCCTGCCGCGGTGCTGCTTGCGGGCATCCTTGCCTTCCTATTTGTGTGGGCCATCGCAACCTTATGCATCCTGCGCCACTGCTGGCGGCAGTGGCGGCAGCAGAGGGGCGGCGGCGACCGCGGCGGCTCGCACCGTGTGCCAGGCGACGCAGGTAAAGTTGGGGAACAGCCAGCCAGCCAAGTTGGGGAACACCCAGACAGCCTCTGCAGTCCCATGGTACCGCCCTTGCTTGACTGTTGTGAGGCAGTCCCTGATGAGCACGCCCATATTGGCCTTGCCCCCTGGCTTCCTCGCCTGTGCCGCAGGCAGCAAGAGTGCGCCGCCTGTGGTACCCATTGTCGTGGTGGAGCCAGACTCGAGGCTGCAGATCGCCGTGCCAGATGGTGGTGGCAGAGCCGCCGCATCTTGTACTGCAGACAGCCCCGAAGGCAGTAGCGAGCGCTACAGCTGCCCAGGCGCCGCCCTGCCGGTGTCACACCCTGCTGGAGCCGGCGCCGGCGGGCTGCACAATGCACAGCCGCCGGTTGGGCGTCGGCACCAGCAGCACCCTGTCCCTGTTGGTGCGCAAGCCCGCCAGCAGCAGCAGTGCAGCAGAATACAGCTGGTGCAGGCAGGTGTGTGGCCGCTGCCGGGAGCTGGCGGAATGGAACAGGTTCAAACCTTTCATTGCCGCACTCTGTAGCTCGTTGTCAGAACACCATAGCTAAGTTGTAAGTCCCTGCACAGCCTCCCTCTGACCTGAGCGCTGAGCAAGAGCACCAGGTGGAGGAGTGATGGCAGCCTAGCCCCGGTGGCAGCCTTGCAGCTTCACATTTCTTGCTTCCCCACCCCATCTCCCTTTGCATGCCTTTGAAATGTAGTCCGGGGCTGAGCCCGCCCCATCCGCCGGCTGCTGTCGGCATTGACGAGACCGGTGGCGCGGGAAGCGGGCTTCACGGAAGTCAGTCAGCCTCAGTCAACTCTGAGCGAGCTCTGGCCCCCGCGATGGAACAGTCTTGTAGGTCAGATGAGAGAAGCGCTTCTCCTTCTTCTAATTCTATGGCATTCGCTGGCCTGTGGCCGGCACCCGCCACTGCGGCAGGACAGGGCTACAGGGGATGCCTTGTACGCCCCACCACCCGCTCAGGCATTGTCTCTCTGGCTTGTCTCTCGCTGCATCTCGCTGTATTCCACAGCCTGTGAGGCTGGTGAGGAGCCGCCGTGCAAGACACCGGCCCCTTCACCCGTCATGCCTCTCAAACGGGTGCCACTCCCCTAGCAGGTAACATACACCCCTGAACGACGAGCAAATCAGGGTGTGGCGGTTTACCGCCAGAAGCCCGTGTACCAGGGGGCAGCTTGAACGGAAACCTGCGCGCCACACCGCCCCTGCAGCCTGGGGCGGCGCTGATGGAGCCATCTGCACAGGCGGAGGCGCCGACAGCTGGGCCAGGTGCCCCGCCGCCTCCGGCCCCCGGAGTGGCGGCACCGCCGCCGGCCGCGCCTCCACTGGCAACGCAGGCCCAGCAGAGGCAGCCGACAGCAAGCGAACCAGCAGCAGGGCCGCCGCCACAGCATCCCCCTTCTTATCAGCAGCAGCAGGAGCGCCGGCGAGGCAGCCAGCTTGCCACCGGCAGCCCGCTGCTGCCCGTGCCGCCGCCACTGCCACACCGACACGGCGCGGTACACGGGCTGGGCTTTGCCTTCAACAGCGCCCACCCTCCAGCGCTGGACCCGTGGATCATTCCCATGGTAACCGTGGCAATAGAGGACGTGCCACCGCCGCTGGCGCCGCCGCCTGACGGCTACCAGCAGCAACCTCAGCAGCAGCAGCAGCGGCAGCAGCAGGCCTCTGGCCCCGGCCCCGCCTCCCCCATCTCGGTGGCAGCAGCGGCGGAGGCGGCCAACAACTCAGGCAGCACCGGAGGCAGCGGCGGCGGCGCCAACGGCACGGCGCCAGCCGCGTCGGCGCAGCAGGCGCAGCAGCAGCAGGCGCTGCCTCCTCCGCATCCAGCCGGCACTCGCATGGCGGTGTATGACAGCAGCGGGGTGCTGCTGGCCAGCTCGGAGCGGCTGGAGGAGCCGTGGCAGGTGGCGCACGACCACCAGCTGAAGCTGCACCTGTGGGACTCTGGAGATAGCTGGTGGCTGCTGCTGCCGGAGCCGCACCTGGCGCAGGCGTTCCAGAGTGAGACCCTGCCGCCGCCAGCCGCCCGCCAGCCCTGGCGGCACGGCGTAGCCTCTGCCCCGTCGCTGGCAGCGCTGCTGGCTATGCCGCGTGCTGCGTGCTGCCAGCTGCCGTGCACGTCCTGGCCATGCCGGTCCTGTGCTGTTGTTCTCTGCTGCACCTTGTGCTGACGCCCTTTGCCCCCGCCTACCCTGCTGGCCCGCTGTGCAGCCATCCTGCTGCTGTGGCGCATGCTGCAGCGAGCCGCGGGCCTGGGTCTCCTGCCCCGCCACACAACCAACGGCCAAGTGCTGGCGCCTGCCCCCGCGGGGTCGGCGATTGCCCTGGCAGCCGCCGCCAAGGCGCAGCAGCGGGCGCAGCAGCAGCAGCCGCAGCAGCCCGCGCCCGGCCAGAACCACGGCACGTATGCAGCGTTGTGGCAGCAGCAGCAGCAGCAGCAGCCACCGCAGCCATCGCCGCCACAGCAGCCGGCGGCAGGCGCCTGGGGAGGCCTCCGGCTGGGCATGTGGGACACAGGCCCCAGCCTGCTCCACTCCTCTGTCGCCTCCACCGGGCCCGGGGCCCCAGGCGACGCAGCCGCCTCCGCCCTGCATCAGGTGCTGCAGGCGCTGGCCGCAGGCAGCAGCGGGACGCAGGCGCAGGCGCAGGCGCAGGCGCAGGCGGGGCCGGCCGGGCGCGGGGATGGCCTGGAGGCGCTGTATTCGGCCCTTGCCGACTGCCGCGCGGCCGCCTCTCAGCGCGGAGCATACTTTGAGGATTTGCTGCGGGTGGCCGCCCAGGGCGCCGCCACTCCCCAGACGCTGCAGCAGCAGATGCAGCTGCCGCCGCTGCGCCGGCTGCAGCAGCAGGGGCCGCAGCCGTGGGGCGCGCCGCCGCCGCCCCGGCCGCCGCAGGGCGGGCTGGGGCGGGGCGAGGTGGGAACCGCGCCTATGCTGCAGCCCAGCCCTGGCGAGGTGGGAACCGCGCCTGTGCTGCAGCCCAGCCCTCGAGTGCTGCAGCAGCAGCAGCCGACGCAGCAGCAGCCCCAGCCGCCTGCGACAACACAGCAGCAGCTGCATTCCCTGACCCTGCACCAGCAGCAGCAGGCAACCAGCCATAGCAGCGGCGGGGACCTCGTGAAGCACTAGGCTTGTGAATGAACCGCACCACTCCCGTGTTCAGGGCAACTTTACTCTCCTTTGTCCTTTCTTCCCCTCTCCTGTGGGTTGCCCACCTCAGTTTTCATTCAATTCAGTTCTTTCGTTTTCCTCTCTCCCAGTCACTCACCCACCAGGTCTCCCCCTTGACCGCACGCCTGCGCCTCAACCACATGCCTGCTTCACTCTGTGCCTGTGCCTCTGCCCAGCCTTCTACTGTCTGGTCGCCGTGTGTGGGCGGGTATTCTCTCTCCCCTCATTCTTATTAATCAATGCTTCTTGGCTCGATGCCTGGACCCCAGCTTACTGGACCCCAGCTTACCTGGACCCCAGCACCCACCATCTTTTACCGGCCGTTTGTGGCCCTGCATGGCACCCCAGTAGTGTCCGGTACCCCCTTTCCAAAACTCTCCCAACATGCACTGCTGTTTTTTCGTTCTATAAGGTTTCTATCCTCTCATGCGCCAAGCCTCTCATGTAATCGCAGCTAACGTGTGTCCAGGCTGCAGGCAGAGCAGGTGTGCTGCCTGCGCCCGGGGGCGGTGTGGGGGGTGGCGCGGTCGGCGCTGCTTTCCCCGCTGCCGCTGCTTGTCCAGGCACATGAGAGATGCTCGCAGCTCACTTTAGGTCCCCGCCGGAGACAATGAAGACGGAAGCTGTCCACAATGAGGGCTGGATCAGCCAGATGCAGGGCAGCTGCCGCGCGCGATGTGGGCGCTGGCACACCGTCGATTGCTGCAGCCACAAGAGGCACACCTGTGCCACACTCCAGCCCTAAAACAACACACCCTTTCGCACACCATGACCTCAGCCGTGGCTCTCTCGCCCTGTGCTGCCCGCCTGGGCTGCCGCCCCCTGGCCAGGCCGTCCAAGGCTGTGCTGCAGGGCAGCCGCGCTCTGGGCCCCCTGCAGCCGCCCATCCGCCCTCGCCTCCCCTGCGGCGCCCTGCGCGTTGCAGCGTACAAGGCGCGCCGGCTGCCGCATCCGCATCCAATGCCGCTGCCGCATCCTTGTGGCATGCCACTGGCAGCTAGCCTGCTTCATCAGCTGCCTTCCTGACGTCTGCCCTGCAGGGCAGCGAGGACGAGGAGGCTCCCCTGGGGCGGGAAGCCTTCCGCACAAGCTCCAACCTGCCTGCCTTCACGCGCCGCAGGTGCGCTTGGGAACACCGGGAACGCCCCCCACCTTGGGCCGCCATGCCGAGGCGCGCTCGCGCTGCACCAAGCCCACTGCGCCAGGGCTTCTGCCTGCACGGCGCCCCTCCCATCCATCCATCTCTGCTGCGCCGCCTGCAGGGAGCACGCCATCGGGCGCGTCGCCGCCGTCGGCTTTGCCGCCTCGCTTGTTGGGGAGCTGCTGGCGGGCATTGGGCCCATCACTCAGGCAAGCTCAACCGAGGCTGGATACGTGTGCTCGCTCACCCTGCTCCTGATTTGCACCCTTCGTCATAATCATACACACGTCTGCCAACCCTAAACCCTTTCTTTCGTTCTTTCTTTCTTTCGCAGCTGCACTACGAGACGGGCATCAGGTGGGCCACGCCCGCCGCCCCTGCTGATGCTGCCGCCTCGCGCCGGCCTCGCCCTGCAGCTAACTTCATGCGTGCCTGCAAACACCCATCCCGCCCCGCAGCTACAAGTGGCTGTACCTGGCGTTGGCCGCCCTCACGGGCTGGGGCCTGCTGGGCGCGGTGCTGCCAGGTGAGCGGATGCGTCGGCTTTCGCTGCCCACACTCGGCTGCACACATACATGGCATGTGGCAAGCGCACAGCTCAAAACCTTTCCGATCCTGCTCTCTGTCGTGCCTTGCTCTTGCCGCCAGGCTCGCCCACTTACGACCCCCAGAACCTGCGGGATGCCGACAAGCGCGCAGTGGTGGTGGTCAACCCCCTGAAGAACGTGAGGCTGCGTGCCGGCAACCGCAGCCGCCGCCGGCGCTGCGCTGCCACGGCTTGCTGGCTGTGCTGCTGCTGCCGGGACGCCGGGCAGCCCGGCCGCCTATGGAGCAGATTTTGGCACCCAGGTTGAGAATGGTTGTCAGGCTGCCTAACAACCAGTCTCATCTCGCTGGCAGCAATCTGCTCCACCATAGGGCTCGGTGCTGCTTGGCCTGCGTGTGTGCTTGCTCGATATAGCTATCGGGTGTCACGGTCGCAGTCACAGTGTGGGTGTGTGCGCCTGCTCCTGCCTGCAGCCCCGCAAGTTCCTGGTGCAGAACGAGGTGCTGGTGGGGCGCATCGCCATGGCAGGTGGGTGCAGTGCCGCGCCGTGCCGCGCCGTGCCTGCCCATCTCCCAGCTCTCTATCGGCAGCACATCGCCGCGGCGCTGCCTGCCCCGCACCGTCCTGCGCCCCGGCCGCGACCCACCCTCCCTGCCTCCCGCCCGCTGGCCTCCTCCCCGTCCTGCAGGCTTTGCGGGGGCGTGCGTGCTGGAGTACCTGTGGGGCGGCGAGGCGCCGCTGGCGCACCTGGGCCTCATCCAGCCCGGCACCCAGCTGACCAGCGCGCCCTGGTGGGTGGGGGGCCTGGTGCTGCTGTTTCTGGCCAATGGCCTGGGCCTGTTCTCGGCGCTGGGCGACCGCAGCCGCGACGACGACGCCTACTGAGCACGCCTGCCAGAGCTGGAGGGCAGTGGTTCGCAGGCGGGGGCAGCCAGCTTGGGGAGAGGCTGCACGAGGCAGCAACGGCGCGGATCCACAGCACGAATCGAGCGCTGCATAGTTGTTGCGTGGTTCAACGTTACACTGTAACTGCCTTTGCATCACTGAGTTGGGCCTGCTGGTGCACAGCAGCAGACTTTAAAGGCGCCCGCAGCAGGCGCACACACGTGGAGCGTCAGAGCGCCAGCGCCTGCTTCGCCACCTGCCGCAGCAAGCGGCACATCAGCCCCAGGTCCTGCTCCCGGCTCAGCCGGTGGTTGCCGTCCTGCGGCGGGCAGGCAAGGGGCGGCACCAGCAGGCGGGCTGGTCTGTGCCGAGCGTCTTACCACGCCAATTCGCAACACTCCTGCGCTGGTGTGCAGCCCTCCCTGCCTCGCCAGGCCCCACCACTCCTCACCGGCAGCAGCTCCAGGTGGAAAGCGCGGCTGCTGCGCTGCAGCTCATCCGCCAGCCGCTGCACCGCCTCCAGAGGCACCACATCGTCCCGCAGGCTGCACACACACACGTGCGCGCGCAGCATCAGGCACAGCAGGTGGTTGGAGGGGGAAGGGCCGCCACCCGGATGGTGTGTGTGTGTGTCCGAGCAAGGCAGGGCAAGCTGGCATGGGTCACACGTGTGGAGCTGCCGCTGAAAAGCGCGCCGCACCACATCCTCAAGAGAGGGCAGGACGCCGCTGGGCGCAAAGCGGCGGCACAGGCCCCACCTGTGCATCACGGCGACGGGGCACGTCAGCGCCTCCAGCTGCCCCGTGTGCAGCAGCAGGAAGTGCTGGCTGGCGTCCTCCAGCAGTTGCCGCCGCACGCGGATGCCCCCCTCCTGCGGGCAAGGAGCGGCAGCAGGTGGCAGGAGGAGGAGCACGCCAGCGGGAGACGATTACGGTGCAGCTGCACACGGCCGCAGCTAGTCCGCAGCAGGCAGCACTGGCAGCAGGCAGCCAGGGTCAATCCCAACCCAGCCCCGCACCCTCGCACCTCCACATAATCCGAGGGCAGCCTGACCAGCTCGTAGCCGGCGGCATCCGCCCCCGCGGGCTGCGCCACCTGCTGCCAGTGCAGGCTGATGTCCGGGGCGGGCGCCAGCAGCAGCAGGCCCTGCACCAGGTGCGGGCGCCGCAGCGCGGCGTGCAGCGCCAGCCACGCGCCCAGCGAGGACCCCACCAGCACCTGCCGCTGGCTGCCGATGGCATCCAGCAGCTGCAGCACATCTTCCAGCCTGCGGGGCAGCAGCGTGACGGGGTGGGGTGGGGTGGGGGCGCAGGTAAGTAGACAGCCGGCAGGCGGACAGCCGGCGGCAGGGCAACCGGGTTCAAACAGCAACGTTGCTGAGGTGCTCCTGAGTTGCGCAGCAAGGCGTCTGCCCTGCCACCCAGGCGCCCGCCGCCAGCCGCCCGCCCGCCACCCGCGCCCCGCCCGGTACCGCCACCCACCAGGTGGCCAGCGTGCATTCTAGAAAGTTGGGGGAGGAGTCGCCATGGCCTTGGTACTCCAGCGCCCAGTAGGTGCACCCCAGCTGCCGCGTGGCAAACTGCTCCAGCTCTCGCGCCTTGTCGCTGCGCCGAGGGGGGAGGGAGGGGGAGGGGGCATGGGTGAGCGGGCAGGCAGGCATGCGCTGGGCAGCAGCAGGGCAGCAAGCCAGAGCTGCGTGACCTGCTGGCGCAGCAGCAGGTATGTGTCATGTGTGCTCTGTCGTGACAAGCGCATGCTGAGGCGGCGGCGGCGGCAGCGGCTGGCGGCGGCGGAGGAGGAGGCGAGGAGGCTCGTCTGTCGCGCAGGGGCACAGGAGGAGGCAGGCGTTCCCAGTGCGCTCTCACCCGTGCATCGTGCTGGTCAGCCCTGCACGTAAGGCGGGGAGGGAGGCGGTCAGGCGTGGGCCAGGGCTAGCCTACAAGATCACATGCTGTCGTCAGCAGCAGCCGCCGCCCGTCTTGCCTGGCAGGTACACGATGTCGCCGTGCCGCCCCCACTGGGCCGGCACCTTGGTGTAGGCGATGCGGCAGCCATTGCGCACCAAGTACTGCGGCATGCCGCGTGGGCCCCAGCTGCGCGCCACGGGCAGCGGCGTCCTGCGGATGGCCGGTGGGAGCGGCGGCGGCGGCGACTTGTGTTTGACGGCTTCCCGGGGCGCTGCAAATCGCAATCCAGCGGTCCAACTCGCCTGCGTTTGCTGCTTGGGGTGTAGCGACTCAGCCAGCTGAGGTTGTGTTCTGATCGCACGCTCAGGTAAGTGGGGTGTGGTGGCAGCAGCCTGAAACGGGCGCAATCGAGGCAAGGAAGCAAAGCTGATTACTCGTGAGACGCCAGGGGATGCATTCCTGTAATCACCACCTGTTGGCACAGGGGTGGCTGGCGCGGGTGTGGCGACGGCAGCAGGAGCAGGCGACGGCAGTGTGCAGTGGCCGCGGGCCACAGTCTGTCAATGTGGTGGATGTGACAAGCACCACAGCGCCTAGCCAAGCTAATGGGGATGGAGGTGATGCTACAGAGGGTCGCCGCAGAGCTGCGCGCTGCGCCGCCGCTGGCCGCCCCAGCATGCCGCCTCAGCATGGGCCTGGGGCTGTATCTAATTCCGCGCATTGCTGGAGCCCACTGCAGACACAAAGGAAGGGATCGTGCAGGAAGGAAGTGCGATCGTGAGGCGGTGATGAGCGGCTACACAGGCTACAGCCAGCAGGCATATGGACAGCAGCAGCAGGGCCAGTACGGAGCGCAGGTTGTTGGTGCTGCTGTCTGTGGGCGGGTCGTGGTTGGGTGTCTGGCGTTTCTGCACTTCCACGCTGCCTCGCGCCCCCGCCGCGCCTCGGATTGCTGTATTGCTGTCCTCTGTGTGGGGTCAGCCCCCATCGGCACTCCGCCTGCCTTGCGATGCCGCCCCATGACCACGAAGCACTAGCTGCCTGCTTGACACGCTGTTTGGAGTCTTGCCACAGGGCCAGTATGGCTACGCGGGAGCCCAGCAGCAGGTGAGGCGCGCCACTGTAGGTCGGGCAGGGCGAGGCGTCGGGTCGGGTGTGCGGCGGCTGCGGCAGCACAGCCCGGAGCCAGAGCGACCGATGAACCGAGGCCATGTGTGGCGCCAGTTGTTGGCTGTTGGGCCGTCAAGGGTGGGCTTGTGACGCCCAGGCTGCTCTGCCTCGATTCCAAATCCACAGACCGGGACCGGAGGCTACGGGCAGGCCGCCTACGGCGCGCAAGGCGCGGGGGCCGCCGCCGGCGGCGCCGCAAGCACGGCCACGGCAGGCTACGGCCAGCAGCAGGCCCAGCAGGCGGGTTACTCTTCGTATGCAACAGCACAACAGCCGCAGGTAGCTCTCTCTGCGCCCGCCGGTTGGAGCTTGGCTGGGGGCGGGGCAATGGAAGGGTGGTTGGCAGATGTCCACCTGTCGTACTGCTGCTGGGGGAGGCGCAGAGCGTCTGGAACGAAGCCAAGCCGCCTCTTGTGACCGCTGCTGCTGCCGCCCCGTGCTCTCTCTCCGCCCGCTGCTGCCAGGCGGGAGGCTACCAGGCAGGCGGGCAGCAGCAGGCCCAGGCGGGATATGGCGCCGGGACCGCCGGTGGCACCGCTCCCGCGGCATATGGCGCCCCAGGTGCTGCCGTGGTAGCTCCCAGCTACGGTGCAAGTGCACAAGCGGGAGGCGGGGCTTCCGCGGCGTATGGCAGCGCGCAGCAGGCAGGCGGCGGCTACGGAAGCGCCCAGGGGGGCTACGGCACGCAGGTGTGTCGCGGTGGTGGTGGTGGTGGTGGATGGAGGTTTCCCAGGAGCAGCCCACCAGGGAGGAGCGGTCCACGGCTGGCTTTGGTTGCACGCATTGCATGGGATGTGCAGGCGCCCGCTGAGCAAGAGGAAAGGAGGGAGGCAGCTCCTCAACAACACATCCGTGCTCCGCCTGCCGGGCCGCTGCTGGCTCCCCCCTGCAGGCCCAGCAGCCCGTGAGCGCCTCGTACGCGCCGCCCACCGACCCCCGCCGAGCCGTGGGCTCGTCAGCGTATGGCGGCAGCGCGGCAGCCGCAGCGGCGCCTGCCTCCGCAGCCGCGCAGCCGCAGCAGCAGGCCGGGCAGTACGGTGGCGGGTACGGCGGCTACGCCACGCAGCAGCAGCAGCAGCCGGCGGCGGCTGCGGCCCCGGCCGCCGTGGCAGGCTCTGCGGCGTATGGCCAGCTGGCGCAGGTGGGCGGGTATGGGGCCGCCGCCTCCCAGCAGCCAGCGCAGTATGGCGCCGCCGCTGGCACGCAGTATGGCGCTGCGGCGCAGCAGCCTGCTGCTGGCGCCGCCGGGGCTGGAGCCGGGTATGGCACGCAGCAGCAGGCCGGTGCCTACGGCAGCCAGCAAAGCACCTATGGTGCGCCACAGCAGGCGGCGGCGGCCACGCCCTACGGCCAGCAGCCCACCGCGGCGGCGACGTACGGCGGCGCGGCGCCCGCGGCGCAGCCTGCCGCCGGCGGCGGCGCGTATGGCGGCGTGCAGCAGCAGGCTGGCGCATATGGGCGACAGGCATCGGCATATGGCCCCGCTGCCACGGCACAGCCCGCTGCAGCCGGCGGCGCCTACGGCCAGCAACGTGCAGCAGGCGGCTACGGCCAGGCGCCTGCCACTTCCGCGCCTGGCGGCTATGGGGCGGGCGCTGGCGCCCAGACCGGCTATGCCGGCGCCTCTGGCCCAGCGGCGGCTGCCCGCGCGGGCGGCGCCGCCGCGGGCTTTGGCGCGGCCCCAGCCCAAGCCCCAGGCTACGGCTCTGCCCTGCCCAAGCCAGCAGCAGCCGCTGCCCCGGGGGCTCCCGGTGCCGCTTCGTATGGCGGCGGCTACGCAGGCAGCGCCAGCCAGCCGGCAGGCGGCGGCGGCGGCGCCTTTGGGCGACAGGGAGGGTACAGCGCAGGCGGCGGCGTGCCAGCTGGGGCCTATGGCGGCCCCAAGGCACCAGCCGGCAGGCCGGGGCCCCCTGCCGGTGGCGGCTATGGCGCGCCGCCTGCTGGCGGCCGGCCTGGCGGCGGCTTTGGCCCGCCGCAGGCGTCCGCTGCGCCCTACTCCGGCCAGCGGCCCGGCGGCGGCGGCCCCTCCGGCTTCCCTTCTCCCCAGCAGGTGCGTGTGCCGGTGCAGGCGTTGCTGGTGCTGCCGCTGCTCCATCTTGACTGCACTGCCTGGCTCCCTGCTGCTGCTGGTGCTGCTGCGGGCGGCGCCAGTTGCCTGCCTGTCTGCCTGCCTGCTGACAGCAGGTGCTGCTGCCGCTCCTGCTGCAGGGCTCGCGCCCCGGGCCCCCCGGATACTCCCAGGGACCGCCCAAGCACAGGCCGGACAGCAGGCCGCCGCCGCGGGTGGGCTGCGCCGCACCGCGCAGGGCAGAGCGTGCGCTGCGTGGCCCTTCACCCTGCCGGCTGCGTGCTTGCCTGGGCACCGCCCCGCCCACCCCTGCCTTTACCTCATCCCCTGCCTTCACCTCAGCCCCCAGTGTGCCCGCTGTGCCTGCTGTGCCTGCTGCAGGACCGACCCTTCCACCTGGCCCCGCCCCCGGCCCACGAGCGCGGCCGCGAGCCCCCCACCCGCGACCACCACCGCAGCAGCAGGGACGAGGTGCGAGGCTGCAGGGCGGACACCCAGCCCGCTGTTTAGGGCCAGTATCCTGCCAGCCTGCTTGGCCGGCATCAAGTCTGGAAGGCAACCCCCCATCCTCCCCGCCCGCACAACCCACCACCTGCACACATGCGCCGCCGGCAGCGCCGCCGCCCCATCTGTGCCTTCCCTCCTCCGCCCGCGCGTCTGCAGCGGCCCGAGCGCAAGCACGAGGCCGCCGCGCCTCCCCGCCGGCGCAGCCCGTCGCCGCCGGAGCCGCGCCCTGTGGCCTACGGCGTGCGCATCCCGGGGCACAGCGTGGCGGGCGAGGGCGCAGAGTACCGGGAGATTGAGCGGCGGCACCCCAGGTGGGCGGGTGCGGCAGCGGGCTGGCTGGCTGAGCGGGTCGAGCCAGGCTACTGGGGGGCGGCTGCTGAGGGGGTGTGCTGAGAGGGTGCGCTGGTAGGTAGGAGGGTAGAGCGAGCCGGGAGGTGGGGCGTGGACGTCCCGGCGGGAGGCCGGCTGGTCCTCCCTTCAGGTCCTGCCGAGTGTACTGCTGACTGTACCGCACTGTACTGCCTGTACCGCAGGTTGTACATGGCCCATGACTTCACCAAGCTGGTCAACTGCTGGGCCCAGGTGCGGCGCCGCCGCCTCCTGCGCTGCCGCCGCCTCCCCTGCGCTGCCGGCGCCGCCCCTGCAGCCCCTGCCACTGCTGCTGCGCCGGCGGCTGCCGCCGCCACCTGCAACATGCCGCCTGCACCAAGCCGGCCGCCCCGCAGACACACGCTGCACGCTGCATGCTGCCGCTGCCGCTGCTGCTTGTGCAGGGTCCCGCCTGCACCACAGCCCTGGCCGGCGGGCTGGTTCCCCTTGACCGCCAGGTGCCTACGGAGCATTTGGTGGCGCCTGTGAAGCACGACACGAGTGAGCGGAGTGGAAGAGTGGAGGGGCGGGGGGGGGGGGGTGAGGCGCAAGGGGAGCGGCCTGGGGAACGGGGAGGCGGGGCAGCGCCGAGCGCCTGTGGCGGTGGTGGCTGCGCAGGGGATGGGGTCGTGTGGCCGCTCGTGGCTCTGCCCCCTGCCTGGTTTCGTCTCCCACGCCCCTCCCCGACTCTACTTGTGCCTGCCACCCGCAGGCTACGACCTCGATCTTCCCAACGTGGCGCCCTCGGGATCAGTCGTCTACAACGCAAAGGTGGGTGGGGCAGTGGTGGTGGCGGTGCGGCTGTCGGGTGGTGGGTGGTGGCGGTCTGTGTGCGCGGTTGCCGGCAGGCGCACACCTGCTCCTGCCATTCCTTCTGCAGCACATGCACACACACACACACACACACACACACGCACACACAAACACACACAAACACACACACACGCACACACAAACACACACAAACACACACACACACACACACGCACGCACACACACATCCGGCGCCCGAGCAGGTCATGTTCACGACCGGGCTGGGCGAGGGCGAGGTGGCGGCGCTGCTGGCGGGCGCCGCCGACAAGGCGGGCGACCACCTGTGCCGCCTGCTCAAGTTTGTGGTGGCGCGCGCAGGTGGGCAAGGCAGGGCTGCGGGGGCCGCGGGGCCGCGGGCTGGTGCCGGAAGGCCAAGAGGAGGCTGGCTGGCTGGCTGGCTGGCGTGTCGGCTGCTGCTGCTGCTGCTGCTGCCGCCGCCGCCCAGCCAGAGCCACCCACCGCCCAGCCACTCCCACATCCTCTGCTCTCCTGCCCAACCTTCTAATCAATAGTCCCCGCCGCTGCCGCCGCCGCCCTGCAGACCGCAACGGCGACAAGAGCGGCATCTTCTGCCTGGGGGGGCGGTGCGACCCCGCCATGGACGGCGACCCGACACAGTGAGTGGGGCGGGTGTGGTGGTGGCGGGTGAAGGCCGGACCAGGTGGTGGCGGCACAACAAGCCTCAGCGCAGCAGCAGCAGAGGCGGCACGCCAGGCAGCCCTGGCTCACCCTGCCCTGCCGCGCGGCTGCCCGACCTCTACCCGCGCGCGCTGCAGGGGCGACGCGGCGCTGGTGGCGGCGGCGCGGCGCCACGTGGCGGCGCAGGCCCGGTTGGAGCTGCCGCCGGCGGGGGCGGGCGCCTGGCTGCGCTTCATCGAAGTCCACTACACGGTGTGGTGGTGGGAAGGGGTGCTGGGTGGGGGTTTTGGGGGTGCTGGGTGGGGGTGTGGATGGGGGTGAGGGGTGGGCATTCCCCTTCCTGATCCGTCCCTGCTCCCTCGGCGCCGCTTGTTCCCCCCCTGCTCTCGCCCTGCCTTCCCCTCCCTTCCCTGCCCTGCGCTCCTTCTGCGCACCATCTTGCGGCCCTGCATGCCGCCATGCCACAGACCTCCCCTGGCGCGTCAATCCACCTGTCCGCCCTCGCCTTGCCCACCGCCGCCACCGCCGCTTGCCCCACCCTCCACCCCACCCGCCCCGCCTGCAGCGCCTGGACCGCAACGATGTGGAGCACCATCAGGAGGTGACGGTGGTGTTCATGGTGGATGCATCCAGGTGTGTGTGGCCTGGCCTGGTGTGCGGCCTGGTCTGCGCCTCGCTGCCTGCCTGCTGCAGTTCTTTTTTTGCCTGGTTGCGCCAGCCGTGCGCCCTCTTCCCCTCCCTCGCCGCCCGCGTGTATGCGTCCCGCGTATGCACCCCACCCTCGTGGCTCCCAGCCCTTCCTCCCCACCCCACCGCACCCCGCCCCACCCCCCACCGTCTCGCAGGTGCCTGCCCAGCGCCGCCGACTGGCCGCACGTGTGGCAGCAGCAGCAGAAGCCGGTGCTGCTGCAGAAGCTGGCGGCGGAGCGAGCGGCCAAGCAGGAGGCGGCGGCGGCCAAGGAGCCAAAGCCTGCGGCCGCGGGCGGGCTGAAGGAGGGCGGGGAGGAGGGCGAGAGAAAGGAAGGCGGGGAGGAGGGGGAGAAGGAGGGAGAGGTGGCGGCGGCGCGTGCCGTAGAGGAGCAGGAAGAGGAGGAGGCGCTTCCCGAGCCCGAGATGCCGGCGCGGCCTCAGCTGCAGGTGCGCTGTGCTGCTGTCACCCCACGCCGCACTCCTGCGCTGCAGCCTCTAGCCTCCTGTCCCAGCCACAGCACTCGCCCCTGTTGCCTGCACCCCTGGCCTTGCTGCCCCGCGCTGCCCTGCGCTGCCCCTGCCCGTGGCGCCACCCCTGCGCTTGCCGCCTGGCCCCTGCCCTCCCCCCTTCGCAGCTGGTGGGGCTCCATACCGACAAGCTGCGGCTCAAGACGGCAGCAGTGAGCCTGGACGGTCTGCTGGACTACAACACATCGGACAAGTGAGGGGGGGGGGGGGGGGGCTGGAGCCTGTGTGTGTGTGTGTGTGTGTGTGTGTGTGTGTGTGTGTGCGCGCGTGTGTTTTAGTGTATGTTGTGTGTGTGAGATGGGCTGGTGGACTGCAACCCCTCTCGCAAGCGTTGCGTTTGCGTTTGTATGGCGGTTGGGGTGGCGGTTGGGTGTGCGTGTCGTGCTGTGTGTGTGCAGGGGCGTGCCTGGCACTACAAACCCATCAAGCGCCCCACCGGCGAGCCCCCACCCACTGCCTGCTTGCCTCCCAACTCTGCCCATGCACTCCTGCCCTGACCTGCCCTGCCTGCAGGGACGAGTGCACCTTTGAGCTCAGCCTGTTTGCCGAGGCCTTCCACGAGGCTCTGATGCGGGACGCCGGCTGCACCATCCTGGCAGAGCTGTACCGCCAGCGGTACGTGGTTGTATCGCCATCTGCGCTCATGCTGGAGCAGCGCAAGCCCCGTTCCCTCCCCCCACTCACTGATCCGACTTTACCCGGCCGGGGCCTGCTTGCAGGGATGCGGCGGTCAAGCGGCGGGAGGACCGCAAGCGCAAGCGCGACGCGGAGAAGGCTTCAGGTATGCCCCCCTGCTTGTGCAACGTTCCCTGCAGCAAACACCGTCGATGCCAGCATGCTGGTTTGTCTGCCAGGTGCTGCCAGGAAGGCCCGAACCGGTGCCTGCGTGCACTGCTCTCCCGCATCGCCGCCTCCACACGCCGCAGAGTCCAAAAAGGCAAAGACCGAGGAGGTTCAGGCCAAGGAGGAGGCCTCAGAGGCGCTGGCAGCAACCTCCGCCGCCACCAGCGCCGCGGACGACAAGGCGGCGGCGGCTGCGGCGGGCGGCGGCGGCGCGAAGAAAGTGCGCGTGCTTTCCAGCCCGGCCCTGGCGCGCGCCTTCCGCTTCCTGGACAAGACGGGGGCGGGGTATATCAAGTGAGCAGGGTGGAGCTTGTAGTGGTGCTCGGCGGCTGGTAGCGGTGCTGGCAAGTGCTTGCTGGTGGTGGGAGGTACAGTCCTGAAGGAATGACCCCGAGGTGGGCGCCGCCGCCCCTTCCCGGTGCGCCGCGCAGGACGGAGGACCTGCGGCGGCTGCTGGACGCCCTGGGCCTGGCCCTTCATCACGTGGTGGCCATGGAGCTGTGTGTGGCTGTGTCGGTGAGCTAGGAGGGGGGACAGCACGGGGGTGCCGAGTGAGTGGGTGAGCATGCGGGGAGCAGCGGGCCTTGTCTGCTGCCCTGCCCAGTGGCTTCGTCAGCCCACCCTGCAGCTGTGCAGTGCTCGCGCAGAGCACGACGCGCTGCAACCAAAACCGAGCATGGCCCCCTGTGCCCTGGGCCCCCCATTTGGCGCAGGACACGGGGCGGTACAAGAACGAGCGGGTGCAGTACATGCGGCTGTGCGAGACCGAGGTGGATGCCCCCAGCGAGCCCGAGCCGGCCCCGGCTGCTCCCGCCGCACCTGCTGGTGTGCAGCCTGCCGAGCCTGCGCCAGCAGCAGCGCCGACTGGCGAGCCGGCAGCGGCCACGGCGGCAGAGGCAAAGCAGGAGGAGGAGGCAGCGCAGGCGCAGCAGGCGGGCGAGGATGTGGAAATGAAGGGGGAGCCCGAGGGGGAGGCTGCTCCGGCAGCGGAGCCGGCACCAGAGACTGCGGCTGCTGCGCCGGAAGCAGACGAAGAGATGCGGGATGCGGCAGTGGCAGCAGATGGCGGCGTGGTGAAGGAGGAGCAGGAGGAGCATGGGAAGCATGCGCAGCAGGAGGGCGAGCAGGCCGGGCAACTGGACGGCGAGCAGGCGCAGCAGACGTTAGAGCAAGCGCAGGCGGATGAGGCCAAGCAGGTGCAGGAGGCAGATGACTTCATTAAAGTTGGTGATGACGAGGCTTCGGGCCGCATCGGCACCGCCGATCACGCGCAGCAGGCGGCAGGAGCGGCTGAGCTGGAATGAGGACAGGCACCGCTGTGACCTGGCGCCAGCGGGACCCGCTGGGCACCCTGACCCCCCAACTTGATCTGTAACTGAAACATGATCAAAGGCCGGGGCCGGGCCTAGGGGCCCTGGGAAGTTGCTGCTTCTCATGCTGGCCCTGCGCTTGTTGCGGGTGGCTTCGGCGGCCGCTGTGATTTTAGGGCTGCTAGTGGTTGGATCCATCGTGCGACCGAGGGCAGCAGTGACCGTCTTGCGCACGGCAAAGGTGCGCTGTGTCCTGTCCGCTGTGGCTGATCATTTCTCTTTGTTCTCGAAGACAATCGCCCGCCATGATGGTGCAGGATGTCGAGCCCGCTGCAACGGTGCAGCGCTCGGACCTGGAGACTGGCGACGGCGGCCCTGCGGCAGCAGACGCAGCGGCGGCATGCGAGTGCCCGCCGGCTGATTGTCCCCCAATCCAGAAGTGCCTGTGCCCGCCAGCCCAGGATTGCACGTGTGACGATCAGGAGTCACCAAAAGACTGCCCTCCCGCTGAGTTCAAGTGCGAGGAGCAAGGCGCCGAGCCAGCCAAGACGGCCAAGGCAGCCGATTCGGCAGGCGGCGCAGGCGGGCCAGCCGGGGCGCCGCCGCACGCTGGCTGGCGCTCCAGCCCTCATGTGGCAGCCACGAGCTACAAGCCCGGCCTGCGGGCGCGGCAGATGCAGAAGGGCGTCGTGTCGTACGGCGCCCCGGCCCGCCCGCGCCGTGCCCTGGCCAAGCTGTTGAACGGCGAGCCCATCAGTGTGGCAGCTGTCGGCGGCAGCATCACCTGGTGAGCGCCTGCCTGCCTGCCTGCCTTGCCTGCTTTTCTCGCATCATCCTGCTACGCAGGCCAGGGGGCCATGCCCGTTCCATCCACCCATGCCGTCGTGCTGCCTGGCCCGTGCTTTTTGCGTTCGGCAGGGGCGAGGGGGCAGAGAATGTTGGCCAGACCGACTATGCTGCCCGGGTGTTTGCCTGGATCCGGGAAACCTTCCCCAAGGCAAACCACACACTGGTCAACGCCGCCATCCCCGGAGTTCCCAGCAGGTGGGCTGGCAACGGGCAGTGTCGCTGCCTCTGTGGCCGGCTGCCATCCCGCTTGCCTCCCAGCATGCATGCCTCGTCCTGCCCGCCCTCACGCCTGCTGCTGCTGCCCTCGCCATGTTTCAGCTACTTTGCACTCTGCAACCGCTGGCACGTGCCAGAGGATGTGGACTTGGTGGTGGTCGAGGCAAGCGCTGCTGCGCTGCGCCGCTGCACTGTCAACACGCTGCGCCGCTGCTGGTGTCCTGTCCGAGACGCGGGACACTTGGCCTCCTGTCATGCCGCACATCCATGGCGGTACACTGCCCTTCGCTGCCCCTGCATGCCGCTGGTCCCGCCCCGCCCCCTTGCCTCCTCCCCTGCAGTTCAATGTGAATGACAACGTCGATGGCAGCCCCGGCTCAGGCATGCGCCTGGCGCACGAGCGGCTGCTGAGGAAGCTGCTGCAGTACCGCAATCGGCCCGCTGTGCTGGAGCTCGTGTTTTACCGCTACCCCGCCCCCGACTTTACATTGTGAGTGTGGGGGGAGTGAGCGGGGCCCAGGCAGGCGGGCTACGCAGGATGCGGCCGAGCGATCCGCTCCCCAAACTTTCCACCTCACCTCATGTACGGGACGGAGGATGTGCTGCCCACCGGCCGTCCTCAACTGCACGATGCCTGCATCAACGACCCTCCCCGTGGGCCGCGCTGTGCAGAGGCGGGGACCTGGGGTCGCAGTACCGGTACCACGGCGACGACGAGATCGGGGTACTGGCCCAGTACTACCACACCCCCTGGCTGGCCACCCGCAGCCTGGTGTGGGACTACCTGCAGGAGACGGCCCTGGGTGCGCGCGCCTTTCCTGCAGCAGCTCTTGTTTCTGTTTCCTGGTGGCTTGCAGCGCGGCTGCAGCGCGGCGCCTGGCAGGCGACAGCTGGGTGGCGCGAGCGCCGCCGGCCCGCCGGCCGGCTCACCTCCCGCTGCGTTGCCTGCGCCCGCAGACCCCAAGTCTCGCACCGGTGAGATGGTCGGCATGTGGGCCACCACAGACGACGGCGACCACCCCAGCGACACGGGCCACGGGTGAGAGCCGCGCCGTGCCGCCTCCTCCTGCTCCTCGTCGCCCGGTGCCGCCACCTTGCGCCAACACCCGCCCCAGCACAGGCGCTGCCGCTGTCCTCCGCCCCGCCTGCCGCCGCCTGCCCCTGCTTGGCGCGGGCAGCCGGCCACCCATCGCTGTGTCGCTGCCTCGCCGCTCTGCCCTGCTGGAAGCGGTGCAGGTGGCTGGCGGACCTCGTCATTTACTGGATGCAGCAGGTTATGGATGACCTGGTGCGGCACCCGCTGGAGGCCGAAGACGAGGAGGAGGCGCAGGCGCCGCTGTCGCTGCCCATGTACATCGTGCGCTCGTGGCTGGAAGCACAGCCACAGCACGACCACAGCACGCTGGGCGGGCGCCTGCTGCGTCGTGCTGCCTCTGCCCAGGCCACCACGTGCTGAGCCTGCTGCCGTGGCTGGCGTGCCTGCTGCTGCCGGTTGGGTTGCCCGCCGGCGCGGGTCCCTGTCGGCCTGTCTGGCGCCACACCCGCCGCTGCTCCGCCGCCGCCGCCACCCGCTGCAGGGCAACTTTGAGAGCAAGAGCAACACGTGCCTAATGGGGACGATGATGAAGGATCTGGTGACGGCCGCCGACCCAGCATTCAAGTGGGTCAACGAAGGCACAGCCAAGGTGGGTGCCCATTGCACGGCGGCACCCACCTGTGGATGCAGTGCACGGCTGGCTCCTCACGGCTTCCGCTGCTGCTGCAGCTGCTGTTGCTGATGCCGCTTTCATTTGCTGTTGCTACTGCTTTCGTGTCGGCGCTACTGTGCCTCCCGGCCGATGTGTCATCGCGCTCCCACCTCCTCCTCCGCCCCGGCCTGCAGAAGCCCAAGTGGGGCTACGTGAGCACCCAGCCCGGCAGCTCGCTAGAGATCACGCTCAGCACCAACGTGGTACGCTGCTGAGCTGGCGGCGCCATGTGCTGAGTTGGCGGCGCCATGTGCTGAGTTGGCGGCGCCGACAAGCGGCGTCTGGCCTCGTGCCGCTTGCCCCTGCGCGTGCCGTGCCCACGCGGCCCGTGCCGTGTGCTGCGCTGCCCCACCTGAGCAGTTGGAGGGCCAGGAGGCGGGGTACAACGTGAGCCTTGGCGTGGGCCACCTGAAGAGCTACGAGCACATGGGGTGGTGGGAGATGACGTGCGTGGAGGGCTGCGCCTGCGACCCGCTCACGCGGAACGGCCACCACGTGACCCCGGAGAAGCAGTCACAGCTGTTCCATGCGATGGCCCTGGTCTCCGCCTCAGGTGTGGTGTGGCGGCGTGCTGCTGCCCGCCTGACGCTTGCAAGGGGTGTGCGTGACGATGGTGTGTGTGCGCGCGTGTGCACACGAGTGTGTGTTGTTGCACAGAAAGTGCAGCTGCGTCATGACATGCCAGCACGCCTCCTGGGCCTCCCTGTTTCCTTCCCCGCTACTCTGCAGACACGTGCCGCCTCAGGTTTACGGTGCTGGATGAGACGGAGTCTGGGGAGCACAAGTTCAAACTGCTGGGACTGGTGATTAGCGAAGCGGCCGACATGGTGGTGAACACCGAACCGGTGCGTCTGGCTGCCTGACACTGCAGCAGCCTGCAATGGCATGCAAATTCGCTCAGCCATGGCAGCAGGCAGCGCATGGTGGTGGTCGGCAGGCAGGCAGGCAGACAGGCGCTGTGCGCAGTCGGCGTGTGCCGGCGTGCACGCCGCCCTGCGTTTGTACGGCCCAGCTGCGATTGAGCAAGGGCCTGCTTGCAGGTGCTGGCTTGGTGGTGCGTAACAGCTGCCTGCTGCTGTGTCACATCTTGAATGTGCAGGAAGAAGACCACCCCGTGTCGATTCAGTATGAGCTGGGCAAGAACGGGACAGCGGCCGAGTTCGCACTTGGCGGGATCTGACGGGAGCTGCCACGCACATCTGGCAGCCAGCTGCGAGCCGTCAGTCTTCCTTTCGCTGCATCTCCTTCACTGTGCTCCCATCACTGCTATTCTTTGCCAAACGCCTCTGGTTCGAAACTTTCTAATTGATGATTGGAGAGAGAATCAAAGCTGCTCGCTGCTCCCCTGTCCAGCCATTCTGGCTCAGCAGCCACTCATTCTGCTGCAGAGGGGCGTCTGCCCCTGGCGGTCGATCAACAACTCGGGGGAGGTTGGAGGCAGCGGCCACCTCCTAGCCAGGCCGACCGTGGCACTGACAGGCCTGGCAAATGCGGAGCAAGAGGCTGCACAGGCTGGGGCCCGACCCCCAGCAACAGCAGGCTGCAACCTCCGGGCAGCAGGCCACGTCCGGCAACCCAGAGGTGGAAGAGTCCCTTGCAGAGGCCCACCAAGCAGTTGGGCAACCGGCGGCTGGTCAGCAGCTAGGACTGAAGGCGGGCGGGGCGGGGTCGTGTGGCCGCCGCCGCCCGCCCCGCGCTCACCTGCAGCGGGCTCGCCTGGCACCATCTGCGGCAGGCCCGCTGCCTGCAGCCAAACATGACAGACCGGCGCTGCGACCCACAACCCATGCTGCGGACCTGTCCCGCCAGGCAGGCCCTGTCGGGTCCGCGGCGCCACCGGCACAAGTGCCACGCCAATCGGCCAAGCCAGCTGTGCATCCGCCAGCAGCCGGCGCGGCGCCAGGCGCGGCATCAGCAGCCGCAGCACAGCTGGTAGATCCATTGCTGCTGTGGCAACGGGAGCAGCTGGAACTGCGCTGGATGCAGGAGAGGGCGGCAGCGGGAGGGCAGTCGGCAGCACCCAGCAGCCAGCGCCACGAGCTGCCTGCTGCTACTGCGGCGGCGGCTGCGGCCGCCAGTGGGGGACGCGGTTTTGCATCTGCGTCTGGAGGGCAGAGCAGGCCAGTGCTGGCAGCAGCAAGGCCGGCACACAGCAGCCGCCTACGAAGCAGCTTGCAGCACCCAGCTGTAGTTACCGTGGCAGGGGCCGGCGTGCCTGCTCAGCCAGCAAACAGCAACAAAGAGCAGCGCTCCCCAAACCACCTGGCTGCCGCGGCTGCGGGGCACGGGCCACTGCCGCCTGCAGAGCACAGCAAGCTGAGCGCAAGCAGCCGGGAGGCTGGAGTGCTCCAATGGAGGCTGCAGAATCATCCCAAGAACCGGCAGAAGCTGCCACTGGGAAGGGAGCAGCAGACGGTGCCTGAGGAGGGCTGTGAGCAGCAGCACCAGCCAGAGCAAGAGAAGGACCACCGGCAGCAGGAGGAGCAGCTGGTCATCGATGCCCTGTTTGAAGAGAGCTCGCAGGAGGAGGAGGAGGAGGAGGAGGAGGAGGAGGAGGAGGCAGCAGCTGGCGTGGCGGCCAGAGAGGAGATCAGGGGCGGCTCGCCGCTGCACCCTGAGCTGCCAGCAGCTGGCACGCTGGCACACCCGCCGGAAGAGGAGCAGCCCGGGGTGCAGCAGGGCGAACTGCCAGCAGCAGCGAGTCCGGCAGCAGCGGATGCGGAGTCGGCTCCGTCGGCTGCGGCCGCAGCAGCCGCAGCGCCCGAGCCGCCCTGTTGGGACCTGGCGTCGCTGTTCCTTCGCTGGCTGCAGGTGCCAGGCGCTGCCAGCAGTGCGCAGCAGTGGCACGAGCACCAGCCTCAGCCTGATGACCCAAAAGTCCCACCAGGCTGCTGCATCTGAAGCGCTGCCCGTGGCACCGCACCCCTGCTGCAGGAGCAGCCCAGCCGGGAGGCCTCTGCTGCGGTGTGCGAGGCGTGGTCGACATCCCATGGGCACCAGCTCTCCAAGCTCAGGTGTGGGGTGCTGGAGCAGGCGCATTCAGGCACTGTGGTCAGCCACCTCGTGTGACCTCGTCGTCCATCCTGCGCCTGCCTGCCCATGGCTGTCACATCTGGGAGTTGATGGCTCGGTGTGCAGGCAAGTCAGGAAGAAGCTGAAGCAGGAGCAGAAGGTGGAGGCGATAAGGCGGGTGGGCGCTAGGAGTGGACAGCAGCCAGGTGGCTGGATTTGGAGAGCCACCACCATGCCAGCGCCTGAACAGCAGGTGCAGCTGGAGCAGCCGCCGCCGGCACTAGCTCAGCAGGAGGAGCAGGAGGAGGTGCGGGGGCAGGAGGAGCATGGGGATGGGGAGCAGCCCCAGCACACCCAGCAGGAGCAGCAGGAGCAGCAGGCCCCGCAGCAGGCCCAGCTGAGGGAGGTTGCTCTCAGCGACTTGCAGCTGCCATCCCCGCCAGCAACAGTGCTTGCTTCGGCAGATGAGGTGCAGTCAGCGGGGCCCGGCAGGATGGCGCAGCCCCAGCCCCACCCACAGATTGGGGCTTCCACTGGCACCGGCCTTCCGGGTGACGCGTGGACCTCTGCCAACGTGGGCGGCGCAGCACGGACGCCCCTTGCCACCACCTGGCAGCAGCACGGGCCCACAGCATCAACAAGCGCTGGCAGCAGGGCAGCAAGCCCTGCCGGGGCAGGCGTGGCGACGGGGGCGGTGCCAGACGGGTGGCAGCACAGCGTTCTGGCGCAGTGGCGCCAGCTGGCACAGCAGCAGGGGAGGAGCTGGGCAGGGCAGGTGGAGCCGGCATCGACTGACTGGCTGGCAGATGCTGGTGGCCTGCTCAAGCTGCTATTGTCAGTGGCAGAGATGGAGATCCGCAGCTGCCTACTTCCCCCAGCGTCGGCAGCAAAGGCAGCACAGCGCAGGCGCCGCCTGGTGCCAGCCCAAGTGCTGAACTGGCCTCGCCCGCAGAAGCCGCAGCTGCGAGAGCGGCGGGCGCTGCCGCACGCTGCGGCAGAAGCCGCTGCGGCAGGACAGCAACCGGCTGGCGAAGCGGCAGCCACGCAGCGAACACCACCACAGGGGCCAGCGCAGGCGGCAGCTTCCGCTGAGGGGCAGCCAGAGCCAGAAAGCATGATAGGCCTGCCCGGTGGGGCGCCTGCAGTGGCAGGTGGCAGCGGCGGCAGCGACAGCGGCAGTCAGCAGAAGCACTGCTCAACCCCGGGCTGCACGGGCCGGCCAGCCCAAGAGTGCGGCAAGTGCATCGGCTGCTGCCATGGTGACTGCGGCAGTTACTCTCACCGCCAGCGGGCCAAGGAGCTCTTGGAGCAGCGGCAGCAAAAGCAGCACCAGGCGCTGCAGGCCCGGCAACAGCCGGCTGCTCAGGTGCAGGCACCAATGGCGGCAAGCTCTGCGCATGCTCCCATGCTGGCAGCCCCTCCTGCGCTGTACCTGCTGCCCTTCCAGCTGCCGCCACAGCTGCAGGGGGAGCAGCCCGGTGCACCGCAATACATGCTGCTGCAGCAGCAGCAGCTGCCTCTTCTGCAGCAGGCACAGCAGCTGACTCTCCTGCCGCTGCAGCACGCCGTTCCCCAGGCTGGGGTGGGCTTGCACGGCATCCATGGGGGCGCTGGGTTCTTGCTGCCATCTCCCTTCTTCTTCCAGCAGCCCCCCGCTCCCATGATGCCAACTGCCAGCGCCCCAGCACAGGTGGGTGCGCACATTGCATCAATGCTGCCGTGTGTCATACTGTCCCCAGCATTCATGGCCCTGCTGCTGACGGTTTGGCCTGCATGCACAGGGCCCCATAGCACAGCAGCAGCAGCAGCAGGAGCAGGGTGGAGTGGAGGAGCACACCGCAGCCGTCCAGTGAGGGCACGCTTGGCCTTGCATCTAGATGGTGCTCACTGGATCCAACGTAGACAACAGCAGCAGGACAGCGGCACATGAGGTGGGGCAGCGCAGCCGCGATGCAGGAAGGTAGCATCGTGGGGCGCCACGCCGGGCGCAAGGGCAGCCGGCGTCACCGGGCACAGCACTAGCGAGTCACTTCATGAGTAGCCCTCCTCCATGAGACACTGCTGTTCAACAGTTACAACAAAGTGAATCGGCGCACTAGCACAGAAGAAGAAAGAGAGCAGTACCAAGCGTTGAATCGTCAGTACCGAGGACCTCGTGAATTGTCTTACGAGAGTGGCAGCCAGCAGGTAGCCAAAGCTGAATAGCTGGGGTAAGTGGCGAAGATAGGAGGGGCAAGCCAGGTTAAGAGAAAAGGCAAACGACAGTTGGTCAAGAATGGGTGAGGGAGATGAAAATTTGTGAGAGGGAGCTGACGGGTTGACTCGTCCATGTACGATGAAACAACGCACACGAGATGCATCCCACACACCAGGCTGTCTGTTGCGCTGGCATGTTGCATATCTGCATGCCACGGCAGCCCTGGGTTGGGGCGCCTGGCCAGCCGGCCTCGCCCGCAGTTAAGGTTCTGCTGAAATTGCTAGTGCTGGAACTGCACGCCGGCCAAAGGTGGCGCTCAGGCGCGAGCATCGCCAGTCCGCTTCACCTGCAAGTTCACGGGCGGAGCACAGAGGGGGTGGTTGCCGGAACGCATGGCACCTTTTTCAAAGGCAGGCGACAGGCACCACCGACTGGCGGGCACGCTCTGGTGCAACACACTGTGGCTTGTTAACAATGCTGACCACCGCCCCTTCAAACACCATTCCCCGTGTGTGGGATCTCCACCCCCCGGGCCCCGCTCACCACCTCCCCGCCGTCATCCAGCTCCGCCTCCAGCGCCTCCAGCTGCTCCGCCTTGAGCGGCGGCAGCTCGCTGCAGCACGCGCCGCACTTGATGGCCGTGTAGGGCACCTCGGCGTTGCCGCAGTACTGCAGCAGCGGGGCGTGTGGGTGGGCACGCGGCGCACGGGGTGGGGCAGCCACTGCTGCGGCTCAAACACAACAGCGATGAGCCAGCCTGCGGCTCTGCTGCCCATGATTGGTTTGGACTGGCCAGAGTGCATGTGTTGCCCCCTGATGTGGCACCCTCCCGATTGGGCAACCCCCGCCCCCGCTCGCTCCTGGCAGCCCGCGCGGCGCTCCCCTCCCATACGTGAACTGACCCCATAGAGCCATGTTTGAGGGTTGAGCGGGGCGGAGCGGGGCTGCTTGCACACGTGATGGCATGCACGCTTCAACGCTCCCGCTGTCATCTCACCTCTCTAGCGTCAGAAATACAACTCTTACAAGCCAACCAACACGAACAGAGAGACCGAACAACAGAAATGAACAGGAAATATGAAGCCGCCACAGGCGGCAGCACCTTTCAGCGGAGACGGCAAAGCGTACAAGGCACACTTCTTCAATGGTTCTTGCAATTGCCACCCTTACCGGTTATACAGCCACAGTGCCGCCCACACCGCGCACCATTCTTCTTGCAGCTGCAGTTCCGGGTGCAGGCGCCGCGGCAGCCGCAGCGCACGGCTGCCTTGCCGCCGCCGGGCTGCGCCGCCATCGCCACATTGAGAGACACCACAGGCACTCCTCGCTGCGCCGTGCCGCTGAAGGTCAGCTCGCTGGCCAGGCTGGGTGGCGCCTTAGATAGCCTGCTGGCCTGATGCATACCCTCCACCACTCCAGCTCCGCTCCGCAGCCGGTACATGGTCACGCCAAAGGGCCGCTTGATCTCCACCACGCGGCACACGATGC